TTGCATTTGAATTTTCAACTTTGTAATCAGGTTTTTCAGATTTTTTTTGAGTATTTTATAGCCGCCCCATAATTTGTAGTGCAATAAAGTGCAAGTTTCAATTTGTTAAATGACCGCGGTGATTTTTGATACTTTTTTTCTGACTATATCTACGGATTTTCTTCCTTACAAAAAAAAAAAAAAAATGTCAAATATATTTTGTATAGAAGAAAATGCGTTAATAAAGTTGAAAATTTACATGCAACTTTGCAGGTTTTTTATAATTTTTGCACAAGTGTGAAATGCGGTCTTATATGGTGTTGTTATATAATGAGCTAGATTTTTACGACAAAATAATATATATTAAATATAAAATGCCAAAATTCAATCAATCAATCAAAATAAAACCGTTGCTCACGTTAGCTGATCACAAGTGTATGTTGAGTACAACAAAAGCAATTAAAAGTTCAATTAAAAAAATTGACACGAATGATTTATTCGTTTATTGTTTAATTTGTGGTTTAAATTATTAATTTTTAGGCATCATCGAGAAACTTTATCTTGCTCCAGTACCCAAAATATTAGAGCCAGATTCCAAAGTACGCTGTCGTGTGTTAAGCATTAGCACAGATCGTAGAACAGTCTATCTAACGAATCGTCAAGAATACTTGACTAAACATTGCAAAGTGCTTACCTCGCTTGAAAAGGCACATCCAAATTCCACCTACATTGGCACCATAGTTCAATGTAACAAGGAATATATATTGGTCAGGTTCTTCAATAATCTTAAAGGAATGCTGTATAAGCAACGTCTGAGCAGCATACTAGGTAGCGAGATGTATACATTTTATGAGGGTCAAACAATGGCATTTCGCATACTAACTAAAAACGGACACCAAATCACGCTAACGTTAGCCGACGATACTTTCAGTCTAGGCGAAATATGTCCAGCTACGGTGGTGCATACATTAGATTCGGGGCTGGAAATAAAAATTTGCTACCACCCCGAAGGGGTCTATGACGACGAGGATGAGGATCCCGAAGCAAATGCAATCGAGGTTAAAGGACTAGTACCGCTGCGTTTGCTCTCGGACTATCCGGATTTATTGTATGGCAAATTACGCACCTATACACCCGATACACAAGCACAAGCAGTGTGCATTGTAAAGAACATATTCAGTTTGCGCGATGTGCCCTATTTCCTAACACATTTGACTAACAACTGGCAAAATATAAAGCCAGGGGACATTTTAAAGGCACATGTCAAGAATGTACATGAGGATGTTGTGGATTTGTTGGTTCCGATACGAAACTATGGCAAGTTGGTGAAAGTGCATATAAAGATGCTCTTGGTAAAAGCATTCAAAAGTGCGAACATTCAACTAACGCCCGAGCAGGTGGTCTATGTGAAAGTGCTTGGCAAAGAACCAACAACACGGACAATTACAGTGACTGCCAAATTAACAGATGTGTGGGATGGTGAACTAAGTAGCACCGCGCGAGATCTTGAAGAGTAAGTATGCATACTTTAACGTAGGTCTTCATTGAAATTGCATTAACATTAATCACACTTTTAGTTACCTGAATGAAGTATCAGATATTCGAAAAGCTCACAAGCGGTTGGGCTACGGTGTAGGCCAACACAAAGTTGGCGATAAAGTCGTCGCATATTTCCGTGGCGTAAATGCTGACACAAAAGATTGGCAATACGAGATAGAAAAAACTAAAGTGGCCGCTGTGGTCAAATCTTCGTTAGTCGGAAAATCAAAGCCACCCAAAGTGGATGCAAGCCAAGAATGTCTTATACTTTGGGTAGACTACTCAAATGAATTGGTCTACATCAGCAACAAGCAAGGCGATGTTTCACACGTCAGCAGTGATAAGAATTTACCAAGTAATTTGGTAGGCAAAACTGGCATTAATGCCAAAATATTGCTGAAGGCAGATCAAGTCTTTGTTTGCTCGCTGAAGAAAGGTCCCAATCCATTAGTCTATTGCCCGGTCCGATTGCATTTTAATGACTTTGAAAATTCGGCTAGCGCTGGTATTACTGAAGGCGATTTTTGCAAGCTTGCCTTCATACACGAGAAGCTGCCCATCGCCGTGCCGGAGAGCACCTGGAAGCTGTGGCATGACATGAAAAAGAAACGCAAAGCCAAAATGGAACTTAATAATGCACCTAAGCCGAAAAAAATAAAAATAGAAAAACCTGTTCAAAAAGAACCACCAGTTGTCATTGCGTCCACGTCTGCCGTTATTGGAAAGCAATCAGAAAGTGCGCAGAAGGTAATGAAAAAGCAAACTAAAAAGTTGGCTGCCGAAGAAACTAGCCCCCCAGCTGCAAAGAAGAAAAAACAAGTGGCCAAAGAATCCAAAACAAATGATTTACTATTCTACGAGGACAAAACACCCAATGATATTGTTATAATTGAAAACAATCGCGCTTCAGATACGGACGAAAAGCAGCCGAAGATCGCATTTAAACCCAAATCTGCACCACAATTACTACCTGGTATTGGCGATTTCTGGAACACAGACCTCTCTCAATTGCTCGATAAAGCTGCGGTCTCCAGCGACGACGACGATGAAGATGGATCAGATGCCACCGAAGAAGCCGGTAAAAAGAAGAAAAAATTGACTGCGGCAGAGAAGTTCAAGTTACAACGCGAAGAGGAGACGCGCTTACGTGAAATCGAAGCCAAATATGCTGATCCGCATCATCTACCAGAGAGTGTCGATCAATTCGATCGCTTGGTACTCTCCGAGCCCAGCAACAGCAAACACTGGATCAACTATATGGTTTTCCACTTACAATCGGCAGAGATCGATAAGGCGCGCGGAGTAGCACGTCGCGCCATCAAAGCGATATCCTATCGTGAAAATAATGAGCAACTTAACATATGGGTAGCGTTATTGAATTTGGAGCTGCGCTACGGTAGTAAAGAAGCCTTTGATGAAGTGCTTAAAGAGGCGCTTAACTACAATGATCCGCTTAAAATTTACCTGCGCGTGATAGAGATATTCTGCGATGCTAAGAAAACACAAGAACTCATCGAGATGATCGGCTTAATTACAAAGAAATTCAAAGCACAGCCGGAGGTGTGGCGTGCAGCAGCGAATGCTTATTTCAGCATCGAGATGCCTGATCGTGCACAGCAACTGTTGCACAAGGCTTTGGCGTCACTGCCTGAAAGAGAACGTAGGTAGAGGGTTGGGCAATTGTAATTTGCAATGGGTTTATCGTATTTTCATTTAAGTTTAATGCACACACGAAAACGATTCTATGTTACTATTATATAATTATAATTAACACTTTTGTTTAGATGTCAACACCATTGTTGCTTTTGGC